TTGTCTGCCAATTTTACATCTGCGATTCATTATTCTGTCCCCCCTTTCAACTTTTTGTCACTTTGATGTTCCTCCAACTCTCTGTTAAGCCTGAAGTCAGCTAAAGTGCCAATGATAACTATCAATACTCCTGCCACTTGAAAAAAATATTATCATAGATTTCTTGGAGTAGTTAATTGCATTAAGTTTCGACGATCTGGTGGTCCATAAAAAGAATTATATTTGGTTCGTTAATTGCATAGATTTTATCGCTCATTAATCCGGCTAGACCATGTGAGAGGAATCAACTGATGTTGCAGCCAGACAAAGCAGTGCATTCATAAAATTTGGTGTTACAACCACCTTGGACGGACTATTAAAGCAATTACCTAGTTTCTCCTTGTGTGGACACGGCTAACAGTGACACTCTAAACTGAAAATATTTACTGACAAATGTCATCTGAAATAAATCGATAAAACTGAGTTATCTTAGTGAAGTGATGCTCATTAATCGGTGAAGGTCGTAGACACGCACTTAATGCAGTTCTAGGGAGAAAGTGAGAAAATGAATTTAGTGGAATGCGGAATGCCACTTTTGGTTAAGTCAAATGAAGTAGCATTCAATTGAGAAGTTGGAATTACGCTGCGGTTCGTTTTAATCCTTCCCCACCCCAACTCCAACCCCACCCCCCACCTCATTGTTATATTTTGGACTTGCTGTTAATCAATTTAATTGGCTTTCCACTGAAAAATGCGTGATGATAGTTTTTCTTCCAAAGAGCACTTTTATTAAATTATTCCATGATAACCACCTTTTTCCGCCAACTACCCCCCCCCCCTTCCTCCTCCAACCTCCCCACAAATCCCAAAATTAGCACTCTCAATGGCACCAGAATTCTCAGCGGAGAAGTCCTCAAACATCGAAAACATTTTTACCTATTTCTTGTTAACAGCTTATTTTGAACCAAAAAATCATGGTGCGCTTATGATAAAACTATCCACTATTCCCCAATACGTTAAAAATATATGCTATTTTGAACAAGAAAATGGGAAACCTTTCTGTTCTGTATTGAACAGGAAATAACGTTGGTTTAATTTTCCACTTTATGAAAATTAAATATGAACGGTCTGCTAGTTCAAAGATGAGTATGCATCCTCTAGAGCTACACTTTGTCCAGGTTTAAAGAAGAAAATTTTCGCAAAATATTGAACGATAAAGCATTCAGCCAACTTTGACGACAAATTGTCTTCACCGCAAAGTTGATCATGTTTCCTTACTAACTGATCGTAAGACTTGACTGCAACTAACCCTATGATAGCATAAATACCTTGGAATTATATTTTATTAACCTGATAAGAAAATGAATGTGACAGTGGTTAGGTCAAACTTTTGAATCATTTTGGCTGAGTCCCTTAGTTCCAATCACCGCTGACATCATGATTTCCTAATCATGGAATCCACCACCTGTCGAGAGTTTGCATTGAGCCAATTCCTCTCATTTTTGCATTCATTATTAAATTGAAAGTGACAATATGAATAACCAAATTTTTTTGTTTACTTCCATAAAATCTTTGGAATGCATTCTTTGCTGAGTTGAACGCCAGTTCAAAAGAGTAGGTTTCATCAAATTCGGATCTTAATGGGGGTTTGTAAATTGTTGCTGTCCTAATGGACGAATAGAATACCCATGAAATGCGATCAATTCTCCCTGTCTCAATGACAATTTGTCAGGGGTGTGCGATAGACTTACCTCCACGTGGTGCACCCTAGCCAACGTATACTCATACGGCGAAAAAGTCTATTAACCGGCAGTTGACTTCTGACTTCAAACTGCCATGATCCCACTGTATGTTATATTCGACTACTTCCACAGTACTCACCTCACCTATTTTCTACCTTTCTACCTTCGTCTTTGAAACGCTTTTCTGTTCTCTCCCCACCCCCTCTCGACTTTCTTTCACTTTGATGTTCCTTCCCCT